GAGACCCCAACCCATAGGAGACCCCAACCCATGGGAGACCCCAACTCCTGTGAGACCCCAACCCGTAGGAGCCCCCAACCCATGGGAGACCCCAACCCATAGGAGACCCCAACCCATGGGAGACCCCAACTTCTGGGATGCACTCAGATCAATGCCAGGTCCTGGAAGGGAAAACGTGTTTGGAGGCAGCTACAGAACGGATCCCCAGACCCCCTCACCTGCTGGGCTGCTTGCAGTGTGCAGCTGTCAGGACCCACTGGGCGTCCACCAAACTCCCCCCACACAGGATTTGTCCCTTCTTGATCAGGGCCACCTGGAAGGGTCGCTGTGTGATGGAGCACGGCCTCCCACCGATGATGCGGGACTCGTCCGTCTCCTCCACTGCAACGAGAAGAAAAAATCACCTTAAAAACCCATTTCTTGGTTCTTTTGTGGGTTTTTTTTTCCCTCTTTTTAGATATTTATGGGGTCACCCATCGGCCTGCTGGGTTCCCACCAGAATTTTTATTTGTTTTTTTGAGAAGAAGGAGGGTTTTGATAAGAAGAAGGGTTCTGGAGGAGGAACGTGTGGCTGAAATCCACGAGGGTCATCAGAACGACGTCAGAATGATCAGATTCAAATGAAATCCCTTTTGTTTTTTGCTCGGTGTTGATTTATGGGGTCGTCTATCCACCCACTGAGGTCCACTGAGGTCCATTTGTTGATCTGCTGAGGTCCATTGAGGTCTACCTATCGATCTGCTGAGGTCCCACCAGACAATTTTTCATCTTTTTTAGGCAGAAAAATGGTTTTGGAGCAGGAACAAGCAGCCGAAATCTGAAACCATCAGGAGAACGATCCCATCAGAATGACCAAAATCATATAAAACCCCTTTTTTGGGGGTTGTTTTTGATCTACGGGGCCATCCATCGATCCATTGAGGTCCATCCATTGATCCATTGAGATCCATTGAGGTCCATCCATTGATCCATTGAGATCCACTGAGATCCATCCATCAACCTGAGATCCATCCATCAACCTGAGGTCCATTGAGGTCCATCTATTGATCCATTGAGATCCACTGAGATCCATCCATCAACCTGAGGTCCATTGAGGTCCATCCATTGATCCATTGAGATCCACTGAGATCCATCCATCAACCTGAGATCCATTGAGGTCCATCCATTGATCCATTGAGATCCACTGAGATCCATCCATCAACCTGAGGTCCATTGAGGTCCATCCATTGATCGACTGGAGTCCCACCAGACTACTATTTTCTTTTTTTTAACGAGAAAGAAGGCTTTGGAGCAGGAACAAGCAGCTGAAATCGGAGAGGACCATCAGAACGACCCCATCAGAACGACCAAAATCACCTGAAAACCCTTTTTTTTGCCTGTTTTTGATTTATGGAGCCCTCACTCTGCCTACCGCCGTCCCCCCCCCC